TCTTCCTCGATAGCGGCTCGATATTCGGCACGCCGCTTGAAGTGGGCCGGTCGCGCATAGGCAAAGTTGGCGAGATTAGCTCGACCATTGGCATCGAAAATGGGTGAGAACCCATTTGTTCTGTGGAAGTGGGAGATGGGGAGTCTGGGATTTGAGCCAGTGGGAATAATTACTAAAAAAGAAAACAAGTCGAAAAGATAAGTCAGAGTTAAATTAAGGATGAAATGAAGAATCCAATGATGAAAGCATAAAGGGAAAATACCAGGTGGAGGAAGAGCAAGCGGCATCGAGATAGGTGGAAGAGTACGTACAGTCTCGGCTTGTTGTAAATCGAAACGCTTGATTAGAGAAGGAAATATATAGACATAAAAAGAGACACACAAGTAAAAAGAAGAAATATACCTCGGGGATCGGTGTCGAAGGTTGAAGCTGAGTTTCGACGGTTGTCGATATGGTCGCCGATGGATTATCCTAAAAATTTTATCGAAAATGTGAGTCATGATACAAGTCTTATCAAAATCTAAGACATAGAAATGAGAGAAAAAGGAAACTCATGTGACTAGAATGAGTGACGGGTGTTGTTTGACCCGTGGAGGGAACGGTGTTAGAATCCATCGATAATGGATCTGCTGTGGATGATTGGACTGATCGTGGACTCTTCGATTTTTTCTGTAGGGTAGAAATCGAAAAGAGATATAAGAATCCATAAGAAAACATGTTATAAACAGAAAAATGAATGAGACAAAAAGAGATCAAAAAAGTACCTTTGATTTTTTCGAAGATGAAGTGGTGATGGTGACCGATTGTTTTCACTTTCTGGTGAAGGCCGGAGGGTCCGACTCATCTGGGGACTCCCAGCTTGCGTCCTTTTCTTCCTCTTGTGCCTTCTCGAAGGCGACCACCTTAGTAGATTTTGAAACTGTCGAGGAATGAAGATAGTTAGTTCCCAAAACACAGAATTGAAAATTGAGAGAAAACAATAAAACCTCACCAAAAGGTGATGGAGTCAAAATTTTGACTCGATCAATATGTACTAGCCAAGGAGGCAGGAGAGCTTCAGGGAGGTTAAGGTAAGGAAAGTAAAACAATTTCGATACAGAAATGTCTTTGTTTTTAGGTTTTGGGCGACGGGTTTCTTTAAGGGTTATCAATTCTCGAACCCATTTAGGATGAGTTAAAGGTTTTGCAAGTCCAAAAGGTGCTGTAGGAAAAGTGGGAAGGCGATCGGGACAATACATTTCAAAAGGGGTTTTTCCTAAGGGATTAATTATTTTGTGGTTCGATCTATTGGTATCTGTTTTTTGGGATAAGGAAATGACAGCATCATAAAAGGTCGATTCTAGTTTTAGTGGAGTATAACATATTTGATAAAAATTCTCGAATCGAGATATTTGGATACAGTGGAAGTGTGTACCTTTCTTCCCTTTCGACTTGTCCTGCAACACAAGAGAAGGACGAGCGATCGATTCACGTCGAACCTCGTCAAAAACAGACACGATTACTCGAAAACCAATTGGTCCACCATTGAGAAAATTCCACGATCGATAAGTAATTCGATTCAAATACATATGGATAAAGATGCATCGAGGTTCTTGGCAAAAATTTGGCAAGCTCTCGGCCGATGTTCGACTCGAGTCAATTTGGATTTGGGGAAGGTATTTAAAGGGAAAAAGGGTAAAGAGCTGGCTCGGGCCAAATTGTCTTGAAAAAAGTTGAGGGTAGTAAGTAGTAAACTTGAAATCCTTGGGGTGAAAGCCCGATACTAATATATCCTGGGTTAAGTAGTTACTCCATATATCGACCAATTCTAATTGCAACCCAGGAGTTGAAGCGAGGAAACTTTGACTTAAACCAAATAGGCCCCCTAAGTTGGCCACTTGTTCGTCCAAGATTTACGATAAAAGGGGCCAAGGTTGAATCGAAATCGAATCTAGTTAACAAAAAGTGAAGGTATTTACAATAGGTAGTTTCGTCGGACTTATGGCGAGGATGGCGAGAGGATAATCGGGCCCCTTCTATATTTACACTCGGGAACGGTAGAAAATCGAGGAAGGACGCTCTCAAAAATTGAAGTTAATCATAACTGTATAAACCAAACGGGGCCAGAAAAATTCCCAGATGCCTTAGGAGTACTCAAAATTTCGACAGCCTCGTCGAAAGCAGTATATACATGCGCTAACAAAAATTTGGCCAAACATAGGCTAGGATGACCTAAATGAAGGAGATAAGCAAGGTTGAATAGATGGGGGGAAATTTGGATCGATCGGGGCAAAACACATGGGTGCACAGCCAATACACCAAAAATGCTACATGTTCTTCATCGATACATGACTATCGAGGGGTCATCAACAAAATGTTTCTCAATAAAATGCCCGTAGGCCTTCGATTCCCAGTCAATTTTGGACTTCAATGAATTATCCGAGGGATATGCACCACGAAAGTATCTCTCCCCTATAGGTTTTAACCCGGTGATGGCTGCGACATCGAAAAGAGTAGGTGAGAGAGGGCCGCAAGGTAATTCCAACGCATGTATTTCCTTATTCCACAAATGCACGGCAGCCAAAAACATAGTCATGTCTAAGTAGGACAAATCACATTGAGATAAATGTAAAAAATCGAAAATCCCCACGTTCTTCCAATGATCCCCGAATTTAGCCTTGACCCTATCAAACCATTTAGTGAACAAAGGTTTTTTGGAGGGAGGGCCTGTCAGATACACCTTAGAAACAAGGTTCAGAAAATCGATCCTAACTTCAGGCTGATGTACAAGAGCGAGGGTCATTTGAGAGGGTGAGGGAGAAACGGTTCCGCTACCAGAAAGGATGGGGCCCCAAAAGCAAAACCAACCCCCTCAACAGGTATAAGGAACTAATACCTGTGTTTCAGCAATCTTTTGGAAGCTTCCTCCATCAAAGGCGGGGAGCAAACCGCTGGTTGTTAATCTCCAAGCAAGGCGACGCAGATGAGGCAAAAGGGGAGTCGAGAAATCGAGATGACTTGGATGAAGTGGCCATTGGAGTAAGCTTAGGAAAACAAAAAGGGAAGAATTAACGGATGAGGTAACGGGGACGAAGCGAGGAGCTCAAGGGAGAAGATAAAATTGCACGGAAGGTAATGGTTCGCGTAAAAACCGGAGTGAAGACTAAGGGAGAGGTTAAGGGGAAAATCGTCTAGGGAGTTGGAAACGACGGAAGGGAAAGGTAATTAATGTAACTTGTACTGAAAGGTAACATACTGACGAGACGGTGACGTAAAGTGGAAAAGAAACCTAAAACCCTTTTTAACCCTAGAACCCCAGAAACCTAAACCCTAAATCCTGTGGGCTTTCAAACACTAAGGCGGGAATATTGAAAGAATATAAAACAGAAATCATTTATATTCTTTCAAGGGGGCATTTTGTTAGTGGTAAATCGAGAAAAGCGATCGAAATCGAAGGGAAGAAATATGACTCGATAAGATAAACAAAAGTTCATTCGATGTCTAATTAGAAATACGTAGCATATAGCATCGAGAAACACAATCGAGAATCAAATGAATTACAATCAAATAACTGTTGTCGAATAAAAACTAAGTCATATAAGACCAGTGTTTAAAAGGAATCGTAAGCAATTCGAAGTTCTCGAATTATACAGAATCGAGAGTAAAGAAAGCCAATGTGGACATCGAGACTTTGGCCAAATTGTGAAGGGAAGTAAGTCGAATGCACGTATAGAGAGCAGTTCTGAAATCATGGGAAAAAGTCGGAGATCGTGAGAACGTGGGAAACTATAGAAGATAAACTGTCATACGCACGTAGAACGTGGTAGCAGTCGCGTTAACTGCTCTCGGAAGGCTTGAAGGATGCCCTATAAATAGAGCAAAGGAGAAAGGAACTAGAGGGGGGGCAGAAATTGGCAGAGAACAGGATCAGTAGTGAAAAGTCTACCGGAGAAACGACGAACACCATGAAGCTTCTGGCAATCTGGATTTCCTTGCTCACTGAGTACATTTACCGCTTTCTGTATTTTCCTTGGTAATTTACTTTGATGCAACTTAAATTCAGCAGTTTTATGTTTCTGTATTTCGATTCCTTGTCCATTTCAATTCAATGAAAATTTGAGTTTCTACATTTAGATTTCCTGTTATTTAACATTCTGCAAATCTCAATTTCCTGTCATTTACTTTTCTTGCAATCTCGATTTCTTGTCATTTATATTTGCGTTTTTTCGATTTCTCGCTATTTACAATTAATGCAAGTTTGGGGTTCTCGCATTTTACATTTCCTCGCAATTTAATATTCTGCTTTTCGATTTGATAGTCTTAATGCTTTCGATACTTTAAATACAAAACACCAAAAACAACATTTTCGATATCCTGGAGTTTTCGATTCTCATACACGTTTTCGATTGAAAATCAAATTGCTAGCCTAAGTAAAAAGAGCTTACGTGGTAGAATTTTGATTAGGACCAAAACACCCTTAAAATCGAAATCGATCGAAATTCCACCAGAAACAAAGTGATAGGTGATGATGATACATGGGACAGAAAAGTGAGGTGAAATGAAAGATGCACCGAATACAATACAAGTAATTATTTGATAAAATTTTTGTTTTGATTTTTTTTTATCCATGAGATGTGGACACTTGGTAAAAGTTTCTATTTGTACTCCCTCGATTTAGATGAGAAAAACACTAAAATAAAATAAAAAGGAAAAAAAATAAAAGAAAGACACAACGAAAAAAATAGAAATTAATTAATTTAAAATAATATTTAAGTTTTAAAGAAATTAGAAACATATAAAATAAAAAAAATAAAAAACAAAGAAAATAATAATTAATATTTTTCAAAATAAAAGAGTTTTGTGGAATATACTTTATAATTTTATTTTCTTTGTTCTTTAGTTTAGTTTCCCTTATTAAAAAAGAGAAAGAATAGATATATAGGTTTTGTTTGTTTCTGTCGTGGATCTGTGCTCTCACACAAGAGGAATTGGTTAGGTTGATTTTGTTTTTGAGTTCGAAGATGGATTCTAAGGATTTTCGATCCATTTTGGAGAGCGCGGGTGTAGACATTTGGATGTTGATGGATGTCGCCATCGAGGTGGCGTCTGCTGACCACCGTGATGAATTGAGGCGTCGAAGAGATGGAATCGTGGAGCGCCTCTATGCGACTTCCGTGTCATCATCGCGGTGTCGAAATTGTGATGCCAACGACGTTAGAGAAAACAAGATGCAAAGCAATCCCTCTGCGGAGGAGGAAAAGGATACTGACGAAGTCTTGTTAGACGATGAACGAAAGAAGATTCTAGAGATTAAAGAACAACTTGAAGATCCTCTCCAGGTTTTTTTTTTTTTTTACTTTGATTTTTTAATTTACGAGTTTGTTAAGCTTGAGCGAGTGTCTAATTGCGAATCTTTATTTATTTCATTAGTCCGAAGATTCGTTGGTGGAGCTGTTGCAGAATCTAGCAGACATGGATATTACATTCCAAGCCTTAGAAGTAACTTATTTTATTCCATTCAGTTTGTTCATTGTTTTTGTTTTTCTATTATGTCTTTTATTTTCATGCTATTTTGATTCTCTAGGAGACTGACATTGGGAGGCTCGTGAATCGGTTCCGAAAGCATTCTTCTAATGACGTTAAGAGACTGGTGAAGTTGCTCATCAGGTTTTGAATCTAACTAGATTTTCTGTTGGTTTTTACAATATGAATAATGAATGTTAATTGATATTTGTGTGCATCGCAATTTGCAACAATTCAATAGATGGATTTTGCTGAACATTTTGTTTAGTTACTTTTATGTGTTTATGCAGGAAATGGAAGGAAATTATAGATGAATGGGTGAAGTTGAAGACACCGGGAGAAGGAAGTACTACTGTCATGGGTAAAACTAATCTTTGTTTGAGAAAATTCAATACTTTTTGAATTGGAATGTAATGAAGGATTTTCGCCTTCATTAAGTTGAAAATGTGGATGATTCCTTCATATTGTTGGCATGTCAGCTGACGAGGACTCGCCACAAGAGAAAATCATACAAAATGGGCATCGTCAGGTTATAGAAATCTTTTTGACCATTCAGTGCTTTTCCATGAAAAGAAGAAGAGGTTTTTCTTTATTAATAAATTGCCTTTCTAACATTCTATTCCTTTCATAGATTCCCGATTATGCAAACTCGCCAAATCCACACAGTGAGTACGGTACTAGATTTAAAGCTTCATTTGTATCTCGTTTGGATTTGTTTGATATAGTAATATGCTTCCTACTCACACAGATGAGAGTCTAGGGTCAGAGCACACCAACATTGAACCTCAACAACGAAAACCAAAAGCAATTCCTCGCAAAGAATCTCCCCTAAAACCATCGCCATCAGTTACTACTCCTACTCTTGCACCTCAAAACGTATTGATATGAATTTATAACCTTTCTGGAGTCTCTGATCTGATCTTCTAAATGTGGCTACTAAATTTTGGAGGTTGTTGCTTCAAAATCACGTAACAAGTTTAAAACCAAACTATAATAATAAAAGCTCTATACGTAGTGCCTGTGCAAGAGCATACTGTGAGTAATACTGACTTCTTGTTGAATGATTGCAGAGACAAAGAGAGAGCAATTCTGAGTTGGATAAACTTGCTTCAGCGAGAAAACGACTTCAAGAGAACTACAAAGAGGTTGCAAATGGTGAAATCTTTACTTCCTCTAATTATCATTTTCGTATCTACGAATTGTTTTCGTCATTAGTTTGTGTCAATACATACTAAAAAGTTATATACTGACGATTGTTTTGTCTGTGTGGTGTGTGTGTCTAGCCAAAAAGCAAAGAACGATTCAGGTGATGGATCTCCATGAGTTGCCAAAACCCAAGAATGCCTTCTTTGGAAAAAACAAAGGAGGCACCGGGCAGGGAAGGCACTGGTGACCTATGTACGCGCCAAGTTGCGTGTAAAAAGACATTTTGTGGGTGGGTGATGTCGTATAGTCCTAAAATCCTATGATCTTCAATATAAAACCCTTGTGTTTTTGTTTACTTATTTAGCATTAACCCTGGAGAAATTTCGTAATATTTTTTGTGCCAAACCAGTTTTTTTATGAAACGCGAGTTAGGTGTGGAGCACATGATTGTTTTAACATCTGAATGAAGATTGGGAAGGGAAATTTTTATGGAGATCTAAACTATTAATCTCTTGGGTTGGAGCCTGAAGGGTTTGTTGATGTTTGCTTTGGTGCTCCTCCAATAAGGATCGTTTAGTTTAATTTTGGTTTTTTGTTTTTCCTCATCTAATACAACATCCAATAATTCTAGCCAGCCAAAAGTAAAGAGTTTCTACAACCATTCTTGTAATAACTTACAATATTAATAGTTGATTATTGTATTCAATGGGTTATATATCTTTAATTAGATTTGATTTGAATACATGAATTTAATCGGTGTTTTGATGTTATGAAGGAAAAGGAAAGAAATTTTTGAACAATTTAAGAAAAACATTTTATATATTGAAAAAAGTATTAATATAGTTTTTGATGAAGACATTAGACTTCAAATATTCTTTTGCCCGTCTTGATCTTGTGTAACTGGGAAATGCAATTATGCTAAACATATGTATAACCTGTTGATAAAGAGAAAAATTGTGAACATGACATTTATGTTCATTGATAGACAATTAAATAAAGTTTATCGAACCCATATTATGTTGATTAAAAGATTCTGCTTGATAAAAATGATATCTCTAATAAATTTCAAGTTCTATTATATTATGTACTTTTTTTTCTTGCTATGGAATACAGTATAGAGCGTGATGGAAAATAATGTTTTCGAATTTCTGCTTTTTTCTTTGCAAACCTTGATCTATAAAGGCTATGATTATCTCCCATAAAAAATAAATAGTTGTAATGGACAGTAAAAGGAAAAAAAAAAATTAAATCCCTAATGTTAGCAATTTAAAGCAAATTACATTTTTAAATTCTTCAATTTCTATAAGCCTTTGTATGAACAAAATTATAAGCAATATATACTACCATTTGAGAGGTTAGTTTGGGTTATTTAGATTATGAATTGAGAAGGATGGGGAGTTGATTTTGGATAAGGCTTCTGCTGCAGTGAAGAGTGGGAAATGAGTGAATCTCCAACCTTAACGATCATTCAATTTACAAGCACCCAGTGCTGTGTTTAAAAGTTATGTGTCTAAGGCAAATCTTTATTTAAATCTTGTTTTAATATATTTTTTTGTCAATTACAAAATTATTTATTAAAATTTTACAATTAAATATTTCTAATATTGCATTCTTAATAAATAAACAAATAGTTCATTCAATATTTTTTCTTACATATACGTAATTTTATATTAGGATTGCTTAATTTTAATGTTTTTTTTTTCAATAAGCAATAACTATTGTTATATATATGGTTAGTAATTGTTAGTAAAGAAAAATCGATACCAGGATCGATAAACAAGAAAGAAAAATATTGAAGATCATATGGTTAGTTGAAAAATTGATAAGAGACAGGCAGAAGACACTTGGTAACCACAAGATAAAAACACATATAAATCGAGAAGGAAGAATATTCGATGTCTATTGTTGAAGAGAATCGAGAAATTAGAATCTAGTGTAATGTTAAGATTAAAGGGAATCAAAAGCAATTCAAAGTACTCGATGTCTGAAATCGAGATCGAGGGAACGATTAACGCGCACATAGAACATGGGAAGCGGTTTCTAAACCGTGGCAGAGATTGAAGATCAAGGGAGCGGTTATCTCATGCATGGAAACGTGAAATGCAGTTTTCTAAACCATAGAACTAAGGGACGTGCATGTTGGATCGTGGTGGCAGTTTTGTTAACTGCTCTTAGAAGGTTACTTGAAAGACGCTCTATAAATAAAGCGAAGACTTGAGGGAAAAAGGGGGGCAGAGACAACAGAAGCGCAAGTGAACAATCTACATGAGAACGACGCATCATGAAGTTTCTAATGCTCTGGATTTCCGTTTTCATTGATTATTTTTATCGCTTTCTCTACTTTCCCTGGTAATTTACTTTCATTGCAATTTACGTTTGTCAAACTTTAAGTTTTGTCTTTTCGATTCCTTGTCATTTACTTTTATGCAAAATTTACTTTTATGCAAGTTAAGGTTATGCGTTTAAGATCCTCGCCATTTACATTTCTGCAATTTCGATTTCCTGCTATTTACATTTCCGCAATTTCGATTCCTTGTCATTTACACTTAATGCAAATTTGAGGTTTTCCGCATTTTACATTTCTCTGCAATTTGATATTCTGCACTGCGTTTCGATTCAACACTTTTACTGCTTTCTTTGCTTCGCGTTTCTTAATAAAAAACACCAAAAATAGTATTTTCGATTGTCAATCCACATACTAGGTCTCGTCGTTAGTATTTCTCGATACTATGGGATTTTCGATTCTCATACACATTTTGATTGAAAATCGAGTTGCTAGCCTAAGTAAAAAAATATACGTGGTCGAAAATTTGATCGGAACCTTTAATCGAAATCGATCAAATTTTTGCCGTAAACGATAATAATTTAGAACAAGTGTAATTTGAAAAAAAAGTTACAAAATAAAACTTTAAGTAGAATATGTGTAATATTTTTATTTAAAAAAAATTAAGAGTGAAATAATAATTTTCTATTTTATGTTGAAATTTTAGAATATAAATTCATATTTCTAAAACTATACAAATTGAATTTCAATTAAAGATATGAATCAATCTAATTTTTACCCAAATGATCTATATAGAATCTTAGTTAAATGCACTATCTTTATCCAAAATGTTTATCATAATATATATAACACTTCAGACCTATCTTATTAGATATTTGTTCGATGAATTAAAAGTGAAGATCCCTTGGTTGATTTTATTTTATTCATTGAATTGTTAAATGACTTGATGTAGATTTTACGTGAGATGTAAGATAATTAGTAAAAAAAACTCTCTTAACACATTATTTTATTACTAATTTCAGTCTCAGAATATGTTTATAGTTATTTTTTTACACGTCTTCCAAAATTGAGAATCGAAACCGCGGACTCCAAGATTATTTGGCCATGTAACAATAATTAATAATAATAATAATAAATAAATAAATAAATAAATAAATAATTAATGTTAATTCTTAGTGAAAACAATACCATCTTGATGCAACTAAATGGACAAAATACGCACACAAGCAAACTCACTTCGTTATGTTAACACATGGTTTAAAGTGCTTCCTATTAAATCCAAATGTTGATGACAAAGACCTTTAATCATAACTAAAACAATTTGTTTCATTTTTTTCTCATTTCATTTTAATCAATTTATTCAACTATATCTAAATATACATAATTTTTTACTTTAATCTTTAAAGTATATGTAATAAACCAAGTGATTTGTTCAGTCAATTTTGTATATATATACGTCTATGGGTTAATATTGACCAACAGACATCTTATAGTTTACAACAATCTGATAAAATAGCTTAGTCTCAATAACGAAGATATTAAAGTTAAATTTTTTATGTTTATTAGATATGAAATTAAAAATAATAAAAAAAGAGACAAAATTATATTTTACCTTTCATAGTTGCTTTTTCCCATTGCATTATTGACATTGTGTTGAATTATTATCATTATGAATTTGTCTTATTTGACGAATTGGGAATGTTTAATTGTCTTAATTGGGAATGAGTTTATGTCCATACGCATATCAATGATTGCAGAAACCCACATGAATATAGTGGTGCATTCAAGTGAGTGATGATAAAGCATATACTCTTAGGGTAGGTTAAGAAAAACCCTATTATACAAAGCGCAATATTGTTGATAATTAATTAATTTGAAAAGAAGGAGGAGGAGTGTGGAAGTGCGGAAACTTTGGCTTAAACAATAGGTCAGTGGACTTAGTTTGTCGAGTGAAGTGCTTAATTGAATATTGAAAGAATTGGTTTTTAAATCATCGTGTTTTCATTATCAACTTGATTTTTTATGTTTTGATGCTAACAGGGGACAAACCTACTTAATAATTGAACTCCTCTTTCTTGCATCTTTTTTAATGTGTTGTTGAGATTCATATAAAAAAACACAAAGACTTTAGACAAATTAAATCTCACATGTTCTTATACCTATCAAAATGAATTATTTGGTTTCACTGCTCCAAGGACAAGTAAAAAATTGGTTTAACTTATCTTTATAAGTTACACACTAATCAAATTGTTTAATAAAATTTTAATTTTTATATATAATCCTTATTCATGTGTCTTCATTTTATTATACCATATCTCAACATGTGTATACTAATTCATATATATATCACTATATTTAACATAGTTTTATTGAAATATTTAAGAGGTTTGTAACATAATTCTTATGTCTTAAATATGGCTTTAACCTCGCAGTTTCTAAAAAAATGATTTTTCATTATTATCATCTGTAATTATATATAAAAGAGTTTCTTTCATAATAATTTATTGTTATGAAAAAGAGAAAAATAAAAAAGTTATTTTTTTTAATAATTATTATAATTTATAAATTTAGAAAAAAAAATATAAGAAAAAAAAAAAAATATATATATATATATATATATATATATATATATATATATATATATATATATATATATATATATAGTTTTTTCTTATATACTTATTACTTCGCATAAAGCAGGCGTGATATGAAAAAGAGGGAAAGATCAGGAATCCTAAGTTTTCCTTTTTCATGTTCTAATCATTTTCAATTAAAGAGGCATAATGAGGAATGAAAAACAGTTTTTGTTTATTTTATTGGGGACAGAGAATCTATCTTTTTTGTTCATATAAAATAAAACTATCTTCGTCAAAAAACTGATTCAAATTTAAGGGTGGTTTAGGTTTTGTTATCTAATTAAAATAAGATACTGACCTTATTAACATATTTAATGTAGAAATTCTATTTTGAGGACTAGAAGTACCTAAACTTGGTTTTTAAACACCAATATCTAACTAGTTAGAGTAGAATTTATAAATTTAAATCCCTTAAATAAAACTTGTTGTATTTTCGAATCTTGTGAATAGAAAATTTATGATTTAAAAAAAAAGACTTCAATAAAAATAATAATGACCCATTAAGTTTTCCTAGTGTATTAATTATCAATAAATTTATAAATATTTTATACATATATGTAAAAAGCTTAGGTCTTAAACATAATGTAATTATTATATTATTTTTTTCTCATCATTTATATTACTTTCTCATGAATGGTTGTTTGTGATTATTTCTTTCCAACAAAGTGGTCAAAGTTAGGATAGAAAATATTTTTTAAATTTATTTATTTTTTAATTTCTTAGAACATATTCAATAAAAATTTAATTATTAAAATAATTAAGTGAAGTACAAATTATTTAAAATAATTTTCATTAAATATAATAATTTGTTTAAAATGTTTAGATAATTCTTTATCAATCAACTTATAAATATAAATTAAAAGAAGTAAATAAGAGAGAAAATAATTTCGTAAAATATTTAGAAAATTCTATTGAAACAAAATTAATTATGAATTATTTAAAAATAATATAGTAGTGTAAATCTGTATTATATTTTATTTTGAGGAAGAGAAACAAGTACGAATTAATCCTAGTTACAAATAATCTTTATTGAGAGTAATTTGATTTATAAATACGAGTGGTTGATATATTGAATAGAAAAACTTTTGGTTAGGCATGAGGTTGAAAAAAAGAAGGTGAGTGCATGGATTGAGCCAAACGAAGTAGATGGAATTTACATAATGATTGAAATGGATTAAGGCATTCTTGGAATATCCCTTCCACCATGGAATAGAAATGGTCGTGTGAGAAGCGCGTTTAAGCACTTTCTCCGTTTAAAAGTGAGGATGAATATAAAAATGAATCTCAGAATCTGTGTCTGCATGGAAAGCAACAAGGCACTTATGACGACGTATCACCATCGCTCTGCTTTTTCTTGTACGTCCAAAAGCTACTTCACAAACGTGCCAAAAAAGACCGAATAGCACCCTAGTTTAGACTCGTGGCTGAATTTGCAAGAACTAAAGTTGCTACGTACCCTCTCTTGCTTTTTTCTCCTGTTACAAAATGTTACACGAGGAGATACACACCAGTGCCTTTGTGGGGCTTTTCATCAACTATTGCAACTCAAATGAATTTAGGTTCAAACAACACTTTTTGGTTCAACCAAAATTTTCATCTTTCATCATCTACTCTAATCATTCTGTTCTTACGTGGAATCGTTTTATGAAGAGAAATGATTATAGTTACTGCAATATTAACTTCGTGTCGTGCTTCTTCAATACAACAAGCATATTTTACTTACCCTAACCCTAATTTAGTAAGTGGTTAACAAGACAAACTTTGTAAGTTAGTGCAACAACTAATTTTAGTTACAAGTATATGAAAAAAAATATGATGTTGTAGCTTATGTAGTTAACATGGTGTAAAAAAATTGTATTTTTTACTATGAAAAAATAATAATTTAATTTAAGATACCACTGAGCTGTTTATATAATCTGTATTTATAATCAAAATAACTATTTTAAATTATGATATTTTAAAGAGTTGTTATGTGATGAAAACGTTTTTAAGGAATTTTCTTAAACCGTAATATTTTCACAAATTTAATCATTGTCATATGTTTTATTTTCTTAACTGTTTATCCCTTTTAATTTTCTCATCTAATTTCTAAATTGAACTTTACTATTAAAAACAAATGATCGAATAGCTAAATATAACCTTAGTATCATTATCATAAAATTAAGAATATATATATATATATATATATATATATATATATATATATATATATATATATATATATATATATATATGTAGTGATTGATCACCACTAACAATTAATCATCATTAACATGCGACGCAGATCTTATAAAGGGAAAGCCTATTTGTTCTAAAGTTAAAGTTGCAGTAGTTCCATGATTGATCATTGAGATGAGTAACAGAAACAAGATAAATACACTTAACTCACAAATAAAAAATATCATAAACTCAAAATAATTCGCCATAGCTAGCCTCTTAGATGAGTAATAACATCTAATAAATACTTATATTCATCTTATTTTTGTTTATTATATTATGTCATCTATAATTTTTTCTATAACATCTAAAAATAGTGAATATCCCTGATATGTTGCAGCATGCATGTGCAGGAATACAAAGCGTGGCATAAACCTTGTTTGTGTTGCAACACACCTTTACCAGCCATTGCTAGGAATGCACTTTTACCAACACAACCATCTCCTCCTTCTCAGTTTTCTTAACTGATATAATACAATTGTTTATGAATTCACAAGGCTTTTTTTTTATGTCATGTGTAAGTGTCTCAGAAGTATTCTTTCAATGTAAAAGAGGATAACAAAGTATTTCCTTTATCAGACCTGTATTATTTTTTGTACACCCTCTCTCTTGATCTGCTATAGAAGGCGTATAAACCTGAAAACAATTCTCCGTGAGAAAGAGAATGAGAAAATAATGTAAATTATTATTTGGTTTAGGTAAGACATTGAAAAGAAAAAGGAGTTAAAGAGTGTAAATCCAAATTTACTTCATTCTTGTCAATCCCATCCAGCCAAGAAAATTCAGAAAAAGTGACTACAGTGCAACTTTTGTTTTCCGTTCGTACCCTTCCGAGAGACAAGAAGAATTGACTCTGAAGAATTACATGGGGTTAAAATTGTTCCAGTGAACTCACACCTTCATCAAATTCTAACTCATGTTAATTTTATTACCTACCAGTTTAACAGTAGTACTATGTATTTTATTTCATCAAATAATTTTATGGTTGAAACCAAAACTGTATCTGTATTATTACAGAAAAATGAATGAACTAGAGTACAGGAATACTATAGCTGAAAAGAGAAGTGGCACGTGGGTGAAAAACATGAAATGTGACATGAACTAATTTTGTTGATACTAGAAGGTGTAGCAGTACGCAGTGACTACAAAATTAAATGCATGAAAGTTTGGCGGACATAATAGTAGAGAGGAAGGTGGTCCCCGAACATGTAAAGTAGCTTATGGATATTCACCACACACGTCCCCATAATAGAAAGACAAGAGCCAATGGCAGTGTGTCTGTCCTCACTACTTCGAGCAATATCTTCATTTCCCATAAAAGGTGGAACTTGTGTACAAATATCTGTGTCATCAACTGTGAAGCATCTTCATTCTCATCACTTCCATTTTGGACCCTAAATTAGGTCAAAGATCATAGCCAAAAACACCATGAAAGGAAACAAGCATTATCTAGTTGTGATAATCATACAAGCCATCTACGCTGGCATGTTTCTGCTCTCAAAAGCAGCATTCGACCATGGCATGAACAATTTCATCTTTGTCTTCTATAGACAGACCGTAGCCACCGTATTCCTCACCCCTTTCGCTTTCTTCTTTGAATGGTATGCACAACACAACTAACATGAACCTATATTACATGTGTATATATTTAACTACCTAAATTCAACCTCTTCTTCTCAATTTAATGATGCGATTTTTATTATTGAAACCAGGAAAACTGCACCCCCTTTGTCCTTTGTCACCTTCTGCAAGATCTTTTTCCTTTCTTTCCTGGGGTATGTCCAAATTCAATTTCAATTGAATGATATGTAATTGATGCTAGTCTGATTAGATCCTACCAAAGTTGAAGAGTACTGATACATATATAAAGCTAGCTAGGTTTAAACTTTACGTTATATATATTCAATTAAAATATGATTCACGTGATGTTATTGCTTGATTTTTTTTTTTTTTGAGTTCATTAAAACTGTCGGTGATTCATAAATTTCAGGATCACTGCTAGCTTGGACATATATGGTATTGCCCTTATTTACACTTCTGCTACTTTGGCTGCTGCTGTCACAAACTGCCTTCCAGTTATCACCTTCTTCTTAGCCCTCCTAGTCAGGTAGAATATTACTCCAGGAGTTAGTTGTTTTTGATAATCATGGTATTGGTACGGATTAATTATGGCTGAAAGCATAAACTATTATTGTAGGAGCTAGTTGATCATATATTACCATTTACTATGTATTTCATTCAATTCAATTAGTTCTCCCACCCTAGCTCAACCTTAAATCGGACTTAAGTCTATCAGAAAACTGCAATTTATCAAAAAGGGTGCGTTTTTTGTATCGTCAAAATTCTAAAACCAATTAGTATTCGATCACTAGTGGAAATTTTGCTGGTGATTAAGATTCGTGGGTTCTTTATAAGCAACACACTTGAAGCACTAAAAGCAGCTCTTATTTTTTTCTATTTCTCTTGTTCGGATAGTAAAACAGTAAATTTAAAAGATGTAGTTGTACTAGGCAGGTAAACATTTAACAGATCTAGAAAAGTATATCTTGTGATAGCCAAAAGCTAAAGTTAAGAAAATTATAACCCTTAGCTAAAATGAAGAGATAATAGGGTGATTGATGATGATACATGAACACCTCTTTGTATCAGACACCAACAACAGTTATTGTTTTTTAAAATCTCTTATCACTTATATTAACATTTTTTTCCTTTCTTGTGCCTCATGAAGTGTTGAATAGAGTTTGATATCCACTAAACTTTCCTGGAATTGGAATGGAATTTCCATTCATTTTTCAATCATCTCTTTTTAAAGTGTAGATGTGTTCGAAACAGGCGTGAGATATAGGTGTGGAAGGTGATTAGAATATTTTTGAATGAGAAGAAAAAGTTTAGAAAATGCTAAACGTGGGGAAGACACTTGTACTCCCTATCATTATAAATATCTTCGTTGTCTACTAAAAAAGAAAGGCTCCCAATGTTTTACTGAAGAAATTTTTTTATGTGGTCACTTCTCAGGTAAGTAAAGGGAAGTGTTACGCTTTTTTTATGGTACCTTCATGTCGGATGACCAAAACTTCAAGGACAAACGACCTTTGAGATATTGTACTACATGATGTTTCAATGAATGTGTAGGCCTTTTTTTCTGAATAACGAATTTGTTTGGACTTCGGAATCAAGAGACTAAAATTCAATTTGGTCTTATTTCTTTGCGAACATTTATGGTGTGATTGGTAGGTGATAAACAAGAAGGATGGTTGAAAATAATTGTTCGAAAAGAGAAAAATAAATAATTTCAAAATCATAAAACCTACTTAATTATTTCTCATTTATTTTTTACTGATATTTTTCATTTTTAATTATCTAATTATGTACCAAAAACAACATAAATACAATAGTGAGTTGTTTGTTCTGAGAAGGTCTTTGGCGTTTCCAACTCGGAAAGTGAGTTGCACTCATTTTCATTGTTCAGCTTTTGGAATGTATTGTGCATGTAAGAGGGTGACTTTCAGACTGGACCAGTAAGTTGCAGTAAGAAGGTCCATGTTTGTGCTCAGGATTTGTAGCCACAGTACCCTTTGATGCATAGCTGTCCAATTGTTTTCATGGGAAACGAAACTTTCACAAAAGAAAAAGTCCATGTTGTACATGAACACGTGCGTTAATTTACTTATCTATGTCCATACGATACAGAACATACATCATAAAGTGGTTGATCGCGAACCACGAAAATGGTTGAATTTGAATTGGGACATTTTGTTTAAGTGTTTCAGCTTTCGCTGAACAACATAAGAGTTTGATTTTTTTTTTTTTTTCAGGGTAGAAGTTTTGAAAGTAAAGAGTGCCCCTGGTGTTGCAAAGTTGGTTGGAGTAGTGGCATGCTTAACTGGGGCAGCAATCCTTGCATTCTATAAAGGACCCCATTTGGAACTTTTAAGCCATTATCACCTTTTAGATTACCATAAAAGTCAACAACACCTGGGTCATGTTGCTTCTCGTTCATGGATCAAGGGTTGCTTCCTCATGCTCCTCGCCAACACCTTTTGGGGAATGTGGCTTGTGCTACAGGTAATATTCTTCCCTCACCTTGTTACCAGTTTAAGATTCATATATATCCTCAATGAATATTCGTCTCATAGTTCATATCATATATGTCTATTCTTGTTGCTAATTGACCAGACTTTTGTGATAAAAGACTACCCTTCAAAGCTGCTCCTCACAACTCTTCAGTGTTTCTTAAGCTCGATTCAGTCTTTGGGCATTGCCATGGCAGTAGAAAGAGACATTGAGCAATGGAAGTTGGGGTGGAATGTCAGACTCCTTGCTGTTGTCTATTGTGTAATCCTCTAAACCTTCACATGATGTTATTTCTATGTAAACATTTTTAACAAATTCAGTAAATTTACTTTGTTGTTTCTCAACTGATATGACTAATTTTGGAACTAATTTATTGTGGTAGGGAATTATGGTGACTGGTGTAACATATTACTTACAAACATGGGTTATAGAGAAGAAAGGACCAGTGTTTCTGGCCATGGCAACACCACTGGCTCTCATCATGACCATCTTCTCCTCCCCATTTATCTTGGGCGAGATAATAACTCTGGGAAGGTTATTCATCAATTACCACCCTCATCCCTACTTTTACTCCATTTTTATTTCTCTTTTCCTTTCTCATGATGTGTTTCACGCATGATAGAAGTTTGACACTCCTTTTTGAATGTAAAAAATGATTTTTCTTTGTTGAATATTTTTCATCAATTAAAAATATGCCTTAATAATAAAGTTTTCTATTTTGTTAAATATACTCTCTAGTGATATTTGCAGCATTAAATTTAAATAGTGCCTTGAGAATGCTACTTCTTTAAATGATTGGAGAAACTTCAATTTTGTTTCTTCTGAATTAATGAATAATGTGGTTGCCTTTGATGTTCGAGAAGCCTTTTAGGTGGCATCGGTTTGGTTATTGGACTGTACTGTGTGCTGTGGGGAAAGAGCAGAGAACAAATTCCAAAAGCTTCCTTAGATTTGGAGGAGGCATTGGGTTAAAGTGATTCACAAATCACAACTTGTATGACATGTCATATATGTACTTACTTACAGCAGCACTGATACTTTCCTTAACTATTCCATTTTCTAATACTTATGATTTGTTGAAATTTATTAATGAATTTCAACTCCATAATAAAAGAAGTATTAGAAAAAAGAATGCAAGAGAGATTATGCTAGTATTACTCATATACTCTGTTACTAATTAATAAGTCTAATATATATTGTGTCTGTATTGACATTCATGTAGTAAGAACTAATGCTGCAAAGGCTTTTAAATTTTCTGTGTATTGTATTAGGGTTGCTTATTCAAATAGTGGATAATAATTGAAAATCTGTATTAGTTTTGATATTCAGGGGTTGGCAATGGAACCTGGTAATGAGTTTTGACAATTAACTTTTGACACATTGTGACTCTTTGCTTGATAAATTTTATAAAGATTTTTAATTTTAAAAAAGTGACAACAAATACATAAGAATGAAATAATACTTGTATGAATTTGACTTCTCTATAAAGGAGTGTATTTAGAAGGATAAAGTGAAATAGGAATTATTGATTAAAACATCACCATGCAACTGGGAATGTAATCAATTTTAGAATTTGTTATACAAATATTTCAACTCTGACATTGGTTTTTTTTCTTCCTTCAATGATAAGTGCACATTGCATAGTACTTTAAAGTGCAAATGAGTACTCAAAACTTTCTTATATGTATTTTATAACAACAACAAAAATTAGGGATGTATTTAATCTAAAAAAAAAGTATAATCTATATAAGAAAAAATATTGGAATACTTATTATGGCTCCTAAATTAAGAGTGTAATAATTAATATTCTCTTGAAATGTGTTTATTACGTTTAAATAAAATTATTATTTTGAAAATTATTTTAATATTATTTTCATATACAAAAGTGTTTACATGATAGATCATACATAATAGCCGTTGCACCTTAGTTTTCCTCTTCTGTAATAGTGTTTACATGTGACAATATTAGTAACAAGAGTAATGAAGTAACTAAGGTTTAGGTTAGGAAATAATGTTGAGTTTCTTTTATAGTTGTATCAATTGAATCTATATTATGCTTCAATTTCCGTCGTATATATGTTTAATTAGTGTTTATTATGTGCGGAATTTAGTCAATCGAATGTAGTTTAAAGTTTACTTGAAAGAAATTATTTGAGCTAAAGAATATGAGGCAAGGGAGAGATAAAAAAAATTCTGAAAATGCTGGAAAACAAGAAGCAACAATTAAATTATGGAATGCTTAGTACATATATAATCATTAACAAATGAAATAATTTCTTTACAACTCCTGCTATTTCCTAATTATATATATATATATATATATATATATATATATATATATATATTAAAAAAGTAATACTCTTTGTCCAAAATCATGTATACGTAATATTAATATATTATTATCCTTATAACGATCACACAACACCACAATTAAGAAAAAGCTAAATTGATTAGCGAATTCAATAATTTTTATGCATAGGATATTCTTAATATATATATATATATATATATATATATATATATATATATTATTTATTTCTTATTTTAAATTAAAGCAAAAAATTAATTTTAATAATAACGATTGAGTATTCAATTTTCAATCTAATCAGTCATCAGATAAGACTATTATTTTGAAAATTAAATCGGACAAGTTACTTTAACCGATCCAATTAAGAATCAGTCTAGAAATTGGTATGTTATTTTAAATAATCAAATTTTAATTAAATTTAGATAAAATAAAAAAATTGCTACAAAATTGATAAAATTATCTTAATTTTTGAGTTGATCTAGCTTTAATAAAAAAAATTTAAAGATAAATTTTTTTAATAGAATTTTTTTATAAAAGATTTAAATATTTTTGTTTTTTTAATCTTATATTAGTTAAGTTAACTTTAAATAATAATTATTTTGTTGATTTTTATTTTATTTTAAGTATTATTCATCCTACACTCTTTAAAAATATATTTTATATTTATCATATTCATTATAATTTATTGTGACTAGTAACCTTTATTATTATTTAAAAAAATATTTACTAATGAACTTATTGACGTTGTTCTCTCCAGTGAATCCCGTTCAAAAGGTCCAACAAGTGGTATCAGAGTCGAATGTTGATCGATAGTGGGACAAAGTGATATTTGTATCAAAAGTCTTGCTGACAGAGAGAGTTAGGTAAGTGTGTCCCGTTAGAGTGAACAACGATACATAGAAGGACCACTAGTATGTTCGAGAGAATGTATCAATGTGGATGACTCATTCTTAAGGGGGAGATTGTTGGGAATCCAAGTGTGAGTTAAGTCTTACATTGAGTAATAATGAGAAAGTTGAGCAACATATAAGAAAGTATGACCTATAACCTAATACCTTAAGGTTTTTGGTTGAAAGTGGTGTCAATCCTTATGTGGGTTGGACTCATTATCTCATTGGTGTGTTTCTCCCCTGTGAATCCTTCCTCGAAGAGATTTGATTATTCATTATTAGCTTTGATTACAACAAACTAAGTTTAGACTATTGTACTTATTAAAATAGATTTGTATGTGATGACATATTGGTGGTAGGCCCCAACAAAGTTAATCCAAATTTTGAAGGCATAGTTGGCTAGAAAGTTTGATATGAAAGATTAGAGACCAACAAATAGAATTTTAGGGATGTAATTTCACCGAGATATAAAAGACAATAATGTTTGATTTTATAAAAAAAAATTATTTACGAAAGGTTTTGTCGTGCTTCAACATGCAAAAGTGTAAGCCAATTTTTACCCCACTTTCTATCAAGTTATCCTTAAGTAGTCCTAGCAATGAAGTAGAGACGATAAAAATGTCTCGAGTATTGTAAGCATCGATAATGAAAAGTCTTATCAATACCATGATCGATACAAGACCAAACATTGCATAAATAATGAGAGCAATTAGTAGATTCATGACAAATCGTGATGGAGAACATAAATGTTATTAAGAAGATCTTTATCAAAGGGACCTTGAATGTTGCACTGTGTTTTGGAGGATCAAAACTTGTTGTCAAATGTTATGTTTGTTCAGATTTTGCAAATGATCTTGACATGTTTACACTTGTAGAAGAGACATAGGATGTTGTAACTCTATCTAACATAGAAGTTGAGTACATGGTCGTCATCCAACATGTGATGAAATTATCTATATTAGAAAGGTTAACAGAGGACTCAAATACATGCAGTAGAAGGTTGTTATGTATTGAATGTCTTGCACATTACAATAAATCTTACCTTACACATTGCAAGAAATCTTACCTTATATTTCAGAACAAAGCCAGAAGAACCTAATCGATGTTACGAAAAAGTCGATTAGCAGTGATAAGTTTATATGAAGTCGATCCAACTGAAAGTCTATTGCAAAAAATAACATGGAAGAAAATAATATTATAGTGTGAAAGATTTGATTAATCTAATTAAAATCTTCAAGTGGGAGAACATAATCTAACATCATAAAATTATATATTGGTGGTTATTTTTCTTATTATAAAATGAACATTGTATTTACCTTGTAAATTATTCAAAATTTCTTCCTTCTCTTTTTTATTAGTGCATTGTATAGTAGTTGAGTTCTTTTATTTATTAGAAAATATTATTGTTTTCTCCTTATATTTAAAAACGATATTATAATTTTTTTAGTAGTCCAATTTTATTATTATCTATTGTTGATTTTGTTCCTCTCTTATCATCTTTTATTTTAATTATAAGTTCTTATATAGGTTGACCTAATCCATGTTGTTTTGACTTACTCACAATTTGACCTAGACTTGTCCATCCTACCTTAATTCATCCTACTTAATCTCTCTCAACTCAACTCATTTCCATTAATAATCTATCCCATTTTGGCCCAGGCTCCTCCATCTCAACCAACTCTAATTTATTTTTAGATGATAATGAAGATTAAGCTCTTAGAAATTAAATTAATAAGCTTAATAGTGATAATTGTTATATTTATTATAGTTGATAATAATTAAAATATTTTATGGAAAGGAAAAAAAATTATAATTCCACAAATTTAAATTGTACATTTAACCAAAACATTTTTAAAAATTTAAAATAAAAACAATTCAATTTGCTGGATCTGAATTCTTGAAAATTGCAAAAATTTACTATCACAACAAAAGTTAAATTTATAACCCAAAAATAACTAGTTTTTTTTTTCAGCTTGATTCATGTAACATTCGTACACTACTTGTAGTTTTACACAAAGCTCGACGGAATTCCCACTCGGAGATCACAAAAGAATTACAATTTACATTAATGAACTTGACCTAACAATACAGATAAGCAATGATAGAATAGAAAAATACGTGGCTTGACAGGAACAAAAATTGGTTCTTCAAACTATATATGAAAAAAATAAAGAACACAAGGAAAATATAGTTGGAAAATCTCACACAATAATTCAGTTGGGATGAAACAAAGAACAATCTGAAACTCTGCAATGTTTCTTATTGTTCATGATTCTCATTCAGATTTCAGGTTTCAATGATTTTCAGTGCCAGCCTCAGCAACCTTTGTTACCTTCTCCACAGACTTTGCATCAGTTGGAACTACTTCAATTACTTTCTCCTCAGGAAGAGCCACCTCTGTGTTTATGCTCTCTCTAATCGGAGACTCAGGTTTCTCAGCTTCTGAAGCATTCTTCTGTGAACCCCCATCACTTGGCTTTTCTACTTCTGATGATTTAGTAAGCTCTTCTTTGTGTTTGATGGGTTCATTGCTTTGTGTTTCCTCTGAAGATGTCTCCTTAGTCTCTACATGTTCTCCCTTCACTAGCTCTCTGCTTCGACTGTTTTCCACCGCCACCGAAGCTTTCTCGGCATCTGGTTCTAGTTTCACTGTTTCCTTATTATGTTCATTGATAAGAGTTTTCTCTGAAGATTTCTCAGCTTCTGATTCAGCTATAGGTGTTTCTTTAGCTGGTTCAATCGTATGAGTTTCCTCTGACGGTTTCTCAACATCCGAGTCTGGTTTCACTGTGTCCTTGGCAAGATCATTGATATGAGTTTCCACTGAAGGTTTCTCCACTTCAGAGTCTGGTTTCACTGTTTCCTTAGCAGGTTCATTTATATGAGTTTCCTCAGAAGGTTTCTCAGCTTCTGATTCTAGTTTCACCGTTGCTTTGGCTGGTTCATTTATACTAGTTACCTCTGAAGGTTTCTCTGCTTCTAACTCTAGTTTCACTGTCTTAGCTGGTTCACTGATAAGAATTCCTTCTGAAGGTATCTCAGCTTGTGATGTTTCTACCTCAACAATCACAAACTCGTGTTTTGGTGATTCATTGTTTTTACTTTCCTCGGACAACTTTTCCTCTGTCTTTGGAGATTCTGGTTTAACTGTTGGATCATTGCTTTTAGTATCCTCCGCAGGTTTCTTGCCGTCAAACGTTTCTTCTTTCACAGTCTCCTCCACTGTGGTTTTCTCATTTTCTGTGGAAACCTTAGTATCTTCATTCTGCAACACAAACACAAAATTATAAACCAAAAAGGATATGAAAGTACTAAAAGTAGTGACATTAGTGGATAAGCTGCGTGCAAGAAGAGTTAGAAATATTATCTTTAGAATGGCTGAAAAAAAATAATAATGAATGTATCCAAATCAATAAAAATAAAATATATTTTCTCAAACCTAATTTTTAACATAGCAATCAAATACCCTCATACTCCATAATGTGCACTGCAAAACTGTGTCCAAACCAACCTTTTGTTTGTAATGATTGATGCTTGTGGTGAATGGACACAGCAATTAATTACCATAATGAAAGCATGAAAACGATGATGACGGTAAACGTGATCTATTGGATCCAAACCTTGGTGTCTCTATATTTAAATTTTATTATAATTAATTTCAAAAGGTTTATTTTTAATATGTAATTAAGCCGTGTGCTTAAATTAATTTTAATATTTACAGTCGCATTAAAACATGTTTATAAGAAACAGTTCCAAAATAGAAGTAGAAAAAAAATTCCATTCACTATTTTAAGAAAGTGTTCATTTATTCACCAGAAAAGAATCCTCTTAAAAACACTAGTCAAAGAATTAATAATAAAATAATATCATTTTTAATTAAAGTAATTTTATCAGTAAATAAAATCACAGGAGAAATACGTAAATACCATTTTAATAATTACTTTTAGAGTAAAGTAATTTATGTCCCAAGCATAAATTGTCAGAGATGATCAAATAACTGTTTATACCATTTTTTTAAATTTAACAATCAGTATCATGATTTTTTATTTCTGATTCATTATGTTAATTTTTTTTCTCAAATAAACCTAATATTCATAAAAATTTTCCGTTTAGATCTGTTGTCAAGATATTTAAAATTCCATTTTCGGAAATTCTAATAATTGAAATAGTCTTTTTTTTTCACCAAAACCAGTTCTGAATTTGATCGTGGCAGATCGAATTTTAAAGTAGGTGGTAACTTTTTATATATATTAATGAATTTTCAATTTGAAAATTAATTTCCAAAATATTACATTAATTTAATATGTTATAATATAATTAAAAAGTATTATTAAAATTAGTATTAATTGTTTTTTAAAATATTAATTCAAAATAAAATTTATCTGTAAATTAATATTGATTAAACATTTAAGTTTAATAAAAAATTATTATAATAAACTATTTATTATATATTACTTTTATATTATAAGTACGAACTTAAATTTGAAAAAAAAATCAAACTTTTCTATCAAAATAAAATTAACTAAAATTAAATAAAAAAACTTCAAATTACGAATATATATAATTTCATAATATATTTACTTATAATAAATTATTAAATAAATTCACTATAAAAGTTTTAAGTTAATTCTAAGAATCAAATTTATTTTTCTAATATAATTATCGAAATAATATACATATATATAATATTTAAAAAATTTAATAAATATTTTAATTGATAATAATAAATTTTAATTAGTATAATGTTATTTGTAATTGTTCAATTTCTTTATAAGCAGGTTAGTTAATATTAATATTAATATTACTAAATTGGTAAAAATTATTGATAATAATAATAATAATAATAAGATCTATTAATTAATGATGAAATAATTTTCTTATTTTATTAGTTATGATATTAATGTAAAAATTAATACCAACGTATTTCTATAATTAAAATTTTAATAATTAATAATAAATGTTTTTATTTAATGAATAATAATACTTTTAATCAAGTATATTAAAAAAATATAAATAAACTTAATTTAATATTTTAAAAGTTATTTTTAAATTAGAAAATACAAACGTAAAAAAAATAGAATTTGGTTTCTTAAAACCCTAAATAGATCTTGGTATATATTTTGATAATGGTTTATATGTATAAATATTTTGGGTTTATGTTCATTTAGAGGAGGAAAAAGAAATATGATTATGTTATTTTTTCAGACAAATTTTAAATCCCAGAGTTTGTGAAAAGAATCACAAGCAGTGGAGTAGGTGATGAAAAAAATAGAAAGGTTATTTTGTTTGCAAAACAAATAGTGGAGGAACATGTGGTTGAATGTTTGTAGATGCGCATGATTAGGGGTACCTACCTAAAATTTTTGCCATAAAACCGGGACAAGGGTGATTTTGTTGGGTAAAGTTGCCAAGTGGACCAAGAATATGTACCATAAAGTTTAAAGATGTAAGCATTTCCTTTTCCTCTGATTCAACGGAATGACACAACCAGAAACCCAGAAAAGGGACCAAACAACCAAATCCAATAATTCTACCACTATTCTCCATTCCATCAATTTTGTTTTTTCAAAATTAAATAAAGTTTCAGACACAGTCAGTGCAAATATCTTCACAGAATCATTTTGGGGAAATTTGACCAGGACTTTCTTTTATGCATAAAATAATCAGAAATACATGAAATAAACAAAAAAATTAAAAATAAAAAGTTACTTTCTACGGCAAGAGGAAAAACGATTTCCGACACGCGAGAAAAAGAGAAGAAAGAAAAGATTGAGAGGTGCGTACCTCCTTGAACAACAAGCTGAGAGAGCGTCGTTTGTTCGCTTGGTCGTCATCGACGATTTCGTTGACATTAAGGTTGTCTTCGTTAGAACCTTGTTCGGGTGACGCAGCGTCGATTTGGAGGGTGTCTTTGGCGGGCTGATCAGGATGAGGTTCAGGTTCGGGTGCTTTGGTGTTCCCTTCGGGTTCTTCCTTGGAAACCTTGGGCTTGGTCGCACATCCTCCCATTGGTGTGGTTTCTCAAGTTATTGGTTGTGTCCGTGCGTCTCTCGTTTTCAACCCCAAAAGAAAGGGTGCGAAAAAGAAGAGAGATAGGAAGAATGAGAAGAGCATGCGGTGACTGAAAAGGTTAAAGCAATTTAAAAGGATTGTTTGAAGTAGTTTCGCTTCTCTCTCTGTTCTTCTCTTCTCTTCTGTCCCAACAAACCAACCACGCACACAGTAACAATACCTCCTAATATAATAATAATCATAAGAAGAAAAAAAAAATAAGCAAAGAAAGAAAAATGAAAATAATACATTATATTGTATATTTATTTAAAATATTGATTAAAAATAAAAAATCAATAAAATAAGTTTTTATTTCCTATTTTCTCTTTGTTTTCAATTGAATAACAATTTTATTACCACTATTTTTCTCTATATTTTCCCTTCCATCCATATAGATCATTAATATTAGTGGTGAGAAATAGCCAATTTCACAAATCTTAACAAAGAGAAGTGAGACAAAAGAATACACTAGTTTGTAATTCTTCTTTGTTTATGTTTAAGTTTAAATATATTGTGAATTGTAAATTATCTCTTCATAAATTTATTCATATAAATTTTTATTTTTGATATTTAAAAATTGTAAACAGTTGCTTTCAAGTTATGGAGAAGGATTCAAATCGTGATATTTCCAAATAATAAAAGAAACATCCAAATCTTATTGCAATATAATAATAATAATAATAATAATAATAATAATAATAATAATAATAATAATAATAATAATAACTAATAATAATGAATAACTTAGTTGAACGTATTGTCAAATAATAATCTATAACCACTACTTTACATCAATTTATTGAGTATCGAAAAAACGGTTGAGTTTTTTCATAGACATTTCTAGAAAAAAGAGAGTATAAAAAAGAAATATTTTTAATGAATTAAAATTAGTTAATGAGTAAATCTTTTTATGATTTCTTTAATTATTATTTTTAAATTTGTGCATAATTTCATTTTAATTAGATTAAAATATTGACACAGAAGACGTGGTAGCGATTAGAAATTGAGGAAGAATATTTGTAGAGATTGAAGTGGTGATTCCAGCTGGAAGGAAGGAAGGACAGACATTGATGTTTGGTATTTTCGATAGACAATAACATTGTACTCATTAGTTGGTGTCACGTATTTCTATTCCTTGCGACTCCACAAATTTTAATGAATATATATACACTTCCCCTTACCATGCAAAACTTTTCACTGCCTTCTATTTTCATCAAAGAAAACGCAGGCGAAGGAAGAAATGAGACAATACAGAAAAGTTTTCACATGTTACTCTCTCGACAAATATTTTTGTATTTTCGTATTTGTTTTACGTTAGATTTGATCGATCTGAGTGGAGATAAACTTTTTTATTACAGAAAAACATCGAACTTTAATAATTGAAGGTTAACAAGGAGTATTTGGTTCTGTTTTTTCTCATTTGGTTGGAGTTATGATAATAAGATCTTCTTAATTTGTTCCACATCTTCTCAATCTGTCTCTCCCAATTTGGATTTTTTCCTTTTTTATTATCAGAAGTTGAATGGTCAAATCATTTGACTCCGCTATAACTAAATCAATCATTGCTTCTGCGTAAGGGTTTCATTTCAATCCATTTCTTTACATCTAAATAATAGCTTTTTTTTTTAATTATCGTATTATTGATTTTAGTTTCAATTTAATATATTTTATCTAAACTTGATCAAAATTTTAAATAAGCTTGTTTTACATTTCTTTCATTCATAGCACATCGAATTATAAATATAATATTAAGACCGTATATAGTAGTGATTTTACCAATCCTGTATCAGTATAATCCAATAATCATTCTCTCTTAATCAATCCTAATTTATAGATTAATAAATATTAAAAAAATAACCAATATCTCATAAAAAACGAAATAAATTTGTATTTTTTTTATTGTCTGACCTAACTTTTATGTTGAATTGTAGTTACTTGACCAGTTCAAACCGTTTTGGATCGAATATTCTTTCCTATAACTAAAAAATTTAGACGGCTTAAAAAAACAAAAAATAATATATATATGATCTACGACCAAACATTAATATTTTATTAAAAAATATAAAAAAATATTTATAAGCAAATGATATTACTTTATATATATATATATATATATATATATATATATGATTAATATATAATATTTATATGATTAATATAAAATTATTTTTTTATAATAACTATTAAATAAATAATATTTTTATTTATATATATTTATTATATAGTCAAATTATGTGACGTATGATTTTTATATATTATAATAATATTACTCGTACAAGAAAACTTCGTAACGAAATTTTCCCCATGCACAAGTACAATTTTTCTTATATATGCATACTCAAGCGGGGAGGAGGCGAGAATTAAAATTTCTCTCTCATCCTTCTTCTTCTTTTGTCTAAAGCAACGAGACTCTACTCGTGTAGGATATGGTGAAATGAGAGAGAGCTTGAATTAAGTGGGAAAGTTTCGGTAAAAATACTATACCAGGTAAGGAGAAGTTTAATTCATTCAATATATGAAATTGAATTATACTCTGTGAATAAGGAATAGGAGTAGATATATGAATTATTTGAATGTCTGATTTTGAAGAATTTCTGATTATGATGAATTGTTCACCATTTGATTTTTTTTGAATTTCTTAAAATTAAGGACGAATTATATGGTAAAATTGTTATTTTCAACTTAAATTAGATATAATTGATGTTTTATTTGAATTTGGGACTGAAATTTACCAAAATCTGCAAAATTTGATATTGGTCCCGGAGAGAGGAAGAAGAAAGGGACATAGAAGAAATTTTTGAAAAAGTTCAAGGGTAAAATAGTATTTTTCGGGACATGGAAGGAATTTTTGAAAATATTCAAGGGTAAAATAGTCATTTTACATCCTAGGGACATAAATGGAATTTTTGAAAATGTTCAAGGGTAAAATGGTCATTTTACATCCTAGGGACATAAATGGAATTTTTGAAATGTCCAAGGGCAAAATAGTCATTTTCGGGACATAGAAGGAATTTTTGAAAATGTCCAAGGGTAAAATAGTCATTTAGGAACATACATGGAATTTTCAGCAAAGATTAAGGGCAAAATAGTAATTTAATTATTTAAAAAAAAATTTGGAAATGATTTCGAAAAGGAAAAAAAAAGAGAAGAATATATATATATATATATATATATATATATATATATATATATTTAAAATATGGAATGAAGGTAGCAGTTTTAAAGATTTTGTAGTGTGGTCCAAAATCTGGCAAATGTGAATGATTTTTGTTGTGTTTGAATGGTATCCGGGGTGGTACAAAGTACTTTAGTGTAATAACTATGTCGGAGGATTTTGAATGAGGTCACAAACTTCACTGATTGATCGGGTCAGGTAGACTACGAGATCAGGTGGTGAGAAGTCAATGAGGGGATGGCTGGTGGCGCGCTCAGAGGGGTACTCCAGTATGAGTGATGAAGGACGCCAGTAATCCTACTTTGTGTGGAGGGTGGTCAGAATGATACTACGGGTACCAATCACAATGTGCCCACAGATGATAGCCTCTGAGTTCGAGCATAGTTAGGGTATACTTCCAGAAGGTGTCTTGTGTGTTGATGATTTTGAAATTGATCATAATATATAATTATTACTTATATATTTGTTTTATTATATCAAATGATTCAATACTTACCCCTATTTTTTCATATGGATGAGACTGCGATGATCACTTTTATGTGGGAGCAGATCAGGAGTTGAGAGATGAAGATGTGACTACCGGACAATAGGGATAGTTCAGTGGGATAGCTTCAAGGGAGCTACTTTTACATATATAATATATAAATAAATTATATTACAATATTTTGAGGTTTCGTTAGTGAACCGAAATTTCAATCTATGTTACAATTACAGTAATATAATGTAAGATAGATGTCATTATTATAGTAGCAATTTATAGGTTGGTTAAGTGTGACTTATTAAGTTAAAAATTGTAGCAAATAAAAACTGATTCAACATAATAACTAAATTTAATGTATAAAAATGTAACTAAGTTAGATTGAATGGTACCGTACCTGAAATCGTTGGTTACAACTGGATTAAACCCTTATAATTATTAAATAGTGTTCTGATCATTCTTCACACTTGCATTCTTTATTTAAATTATTGACCATATATATTACCTTTCATTTTTTTTAAATAATGTATTTACTTGTTCTCAATGTCATGTTACAACAATGATGGTCTTAATATAATTTTATGATTTATTTGTGTCTCACATGTACTCTCAATAGTATAAAATTTTACAAAAAGAGTCTTATTATAAAAAAATGAAACAGAAGAATATATATGATCATAAATTATTGACCATATATATATATATATATATATATATATATATATATATATATATATATATATATATATATATATATATATATATATATATATATATATACTCTTAAAAATGATATTTAAATATTTTGTCCAGAAGAAGAATACAATTGTTTCCATAATAAAGAATATCATTATCTTTATATTTACAATATATATGTATATATTAAACAAAAGAATAAAATACTTTATAAAAATAGAAAATAAAAAATAATTATAATTATTCTAAGATTAAACTATAATACACATTAAAAAAATTAATTTAGAAAAAATTAGGGGGTAAAAGATCCTTTCATGTTTGCTTATTCAGAAAATTACAACAATATTTTTTTCTTTCTTAAATCTTTTAAAACTCTAAGATTGATTACAAAATAAATAGCCTATGTCTCGAATTATCTACGTTATTAAGAACGATTAAAAAAAAAAAAGAGTAATTGATTGTTCAATCTTGAATCTTTGTATTGCATTCCCTTCTATTGAGCTTTTATAGATAGCTCAGGGCTTCTATTTTTCTTCAGAAAAATATGAATGTTAATATCTCCAAGGCATCAATAAATACTTTACATCCGGATTCTTATAAAAAAAAATAAAAAAATAGATAGATTGTTGCTATTTGCACCCACTTTTTACTTTCCACACTCCTCTTTAATTTATTTCTTTACATCCATTTGAGAGATATAATGATTACTCTTTCGCTCTTTCTTTTAAAATGTTGGATCTTTGAAAGTTTGATATTACATTAAATATTCTTTTACTAATACTCATATTTTCTAGTGTTTAAATCTTTTGTATATATTATTGTGTGAATGGAAAGAAAAAGAGATAAACGAAAGAAATAGTACTAGTCAAGAAATTTTCTTATATTTATTGATTCATACAAAATAATCTTAAAAAAGATGGAGGAAGGAGTACTTTAACTTATTCCACTTTAATTTGAGTGTTCCCAATCTTTATCATCTTGATTTATTTGGATTTTAAGTTTAAAACAATAATTAAGTTATTATACAAGCTATTAATTGTTAATACTCTTTTTATTATTTAAAGTTTAAATATAGAAAATAAAATCGAAACTCTCTTAGTTTATATAAACTTAAAGTATATTTAAATCTTAAATTAATTTTAAGAACAGTTTTTATGATATTAAAATGTGTTTGAGGTAAAGAATTATTTTTAATGTAAAATAAACAGGACCAAAAGTACACGTAAAGTGAGGGGCCCAAATTCTTAAAAAATTAATTGCACTAAGAATTATAACACGCACTAACCCAGTTTTGGACGATAATTTTTTAATTAAGAGGCCTGCTATGCTAGTGCTTGAGAAAAGGGTCTTCTTTGCCTTAAACAGTTCAGTGAACTAATATAACACAGTTCAATGAAAATCTGCTTTGAAAAACTAAAACTGATGAATAAAAAAATAAATAATAATATTTGAATAAAGATATTTATATTAGCATAAGACAAGTCATGATAACTGGTTATGCAGGGATACAAAAATGGGTGGCATGCTATTAATTTTGAGCATTAAAGTGGAAGAGAAGAAGTTACGAATCACCAAATCTTTCCAGAACAAAGATATTGCTTTTGTCGTCCCTTCCTATTCTCATCCAATCATCAACATATCTACGTCACAGTGGACTTCAGAAACAACAACAAATTCAACCAAAACAAGAAAATATATTAATTTAGATTTCGAATGAAAAGGATTAAGTTAAGACTTTTATAGGATAATACGAAAAATATAAAAATAAAATAAAATAAAAAATTAGGATACGTGATTTCCAGCCATCCCTCTGGATTGAAGATGCTCAGCAGAAGATCATAATTTTTCCGGAACACATTCATCAACTGGATGCAGAGAAAGAGTGAAATTTCGATTAGGCTACAAAATTTTCAAATATATTCGGTTTTAATATTCATGATATTTTAATATTAAAACTATGCCTCATGCCCTAAATTTTGTTCAGTAATTAACATAAATATAATAAATGCGTGATGAGTTATATATAAATTGGCAGTAGACAAAAATACATTAAAAAAAATGAAAAAAAAAAGTATAAGGAAGGTCACTTTTTATTTTTCATTTAAATATTTAATACATTATTTTCAATTCAAATTTATGCAAGTTATTATCATGCCACAATTAAGCCAAAAAAAGGTAAAATAATAATCTATGGCTAACATACCTGATCAGGAGTGATGGTGGAGTTTTCAAAATTAATGTCAACCCTCTGTCAATTTCAAGTAGAAACTCATTAGGAATGTTATTTGGTGATGCTTTACAGAGAAAAAAGTGACCAAATAAGGAGTGGAGTTTTAACTGTTGCGGAAGCAATCTTGAAAGAGGACTCAATGCTAAGCTGTCCAGACAACAAACTCAATCCCCTTGCACTGAACTTGATCATGTTAACTGCTTTGCCCTCCATTTTCAAATCATATTACCAATGTTTATTAAACTCAGTACATTAAAAAAAAGAACTTGAAAAAAGTGGAAATTTTGGATAGCTATGTCTTCTGAGGTCCAATGTTATAAACTGAAATGTCAAGTCTGAGAAACAAAAGCCACATAATACATTAATGGAGAACTTCATTGCCTTTTTACCTTGGATATATCAATAGTCTGAAAAAATTCATCCAGTGAGATAAAGTCTCTGAGGCCTAACTTGGTCCTCTTTGATCCCAAAATTGAGATTGTACTGTAAACAAGCCTCCAGCACCCAGCTACCTACCCACAATAAAAACATGAAAAATGTGTCATGGACACTCACGCTAGTAGACACCTGAAGAGAGAAAAAGATTAGAGAGAAGTGTGTGTGATATGATGAGATAAGAAGAGAAGGAGAGATAGAAATTAGTGGTGTCAAATGGGGTGTTTGTTATGTCTACAAATTAGAACTCTAAAATACTATTTTAGCTCCTAAATGTCAATGAGGAAGGATTGATGTTACCATCTCAAGTTCTTGAGTTGGGTATGGAGTAGGATTCAGAGATTCTAGCTGCTGCACCAAACTTTCAATTTCAGATTTCTTAGCAGATGGCATTCCAAAAATTCCCCTATTGATTCCTTGAAACATGTTTGATTGCAACTCGCTCAATCATACTACTCTTTTTCTAGTGTTTACCTGAAACTTATAATAACAGAGGGAGAAGAAAGCAATACAATTGCGTACCTTCCACCGCCTGGTAAAGCTCTCTTTTCTTCTGAGCAAGTGTTTCAAGCTCAACTAAGCCTGACCCAGAATTGTGCTCTGCAACTTTAATGATTGTAACGGGTCTAAACCATAATGGTCTCCCACCAAATCTTGAGGTGTTTATTCTTAAATGATTTCTGGCTGTGACAAAATTTTGGAGCTTCATGACATTCATGGTTCTACAAATGAGAGGACTCACATAGGAATCTGTCATTTGTGGCTGGACTAGCTTAGTGACCATTGAACCTTCATGTGGAGAGGGTGGTTGCTCTATCTACTTTGGTGATAAGGAGTTAATAGGATGAAATTTCGGCTGAAGGGAATCTGTGACACGTTTTCATGCGTTTAATATAAAGGTTGTGTGGATAGGTCTATCGAGATATGTGGCTTAGAAGATCTCATTCCATGGACACGAGAGATCCAGTTGATATACAACATATTATACTGTTGTCTTCTTCCTACGTGGGCCATGTTCGAATAGAAAAAAAGTCAGCCTGCAAAAATTTCAGGGGGAATTGGTTTACAACAATAATTTTGCAGATTGTACAAAAAAAAGACCATTAATATGTGAAGTTTCTTTATAAAAAATAGAGCGAACTGAGTGCTCATTTCAATGGTGAGTGCACATAAATGGCTTTGGCCTTTCACGCTGCATACAACATTCATGTTTGAATTGATACAGAGTTGGCATGCGACTTAAATAGATACAACGAAAGTGCCTCTAATGCACTCTAAAATCTAGCAACAATTCATAAAAACTTGACGTAAAACTCATCTGGTTAGTACTTCAATTGAACTAATTTTCATAGATAGAATGAAATGAGTAAGAAATAAAATCTTATAGGAAACAAAAATGAATGTATATCTAGACACGCAAAAATCATATGTTCCTTGTTAAAAAAAAAAAAAAAGTTAGTCAAGTCAGGATAACTAGTGGCACGGAACGTGGGTGATTTATGACTACAAATGATTAAAGTTTCTACTTGAAGGGGTCGCCCGACCTTGATGTAAAAGTTCCAAATCAAGGGGGGTCATATTACTTAAAAACTTAGGGAAAAAAAAAATTGTAAACTAAAATTTAGTAGTACAACTATATATTTGAGTATCCATAAAATTACATAGAGCCAGAATCCATAAAGATTGTCGACTGTCAGCAACACACTGGATTTCTTATTTATAACTATTATTGTAACAGAAAGATATGATCTAGGCAGCAGCATTTGATTGATTGGCTTCTTGCTGTTGTTTCCACTGCTCTGGGGTAACAGTTTTCTTTATGGAGAGAGCATGAATTTCTTTCATTTCCTCCTCTAAGGCAGCATTCACCATTCGATGCCTCTCCAGTAGCCTTTTGCCCTCAAATTGTTCTGATACAATCTCCACTACAAAACTTGCACCGCACCTAATATCCACAACACGAAAACTATAAGATTGTACGATAAAAAAAGAAAAGGCGGAAGTAAAAAGTGCTATAAAGTAGAGGACACAAGGTCTGTGTAAGTGGAATGAAACTTACCCTCCAGATGTATCAACCACCTCCTGAAACACAAATACAATAAAATCAGAACAGAAAAATTGAAGAAAAGTGAAGAGGGTCAAAACACAGAGTACACCCCTGAAGTTGGCCCATTTCATCTTTGGTGCATAAAATTTGTTCTTTCACACGTAAATCCCATGAACTTACAAACTATTAAATTATTAAAAGGAGCTAGAATTAACACACAATCCCCTAACCCTTATAAATAACCACCTTGGAATTTAACAAATGTTCACATCTAATACACCCCTGAAGTTGGCCCATTTCATCTTTGGTGCATAAAATTTGTTCTTCCACGTAAATCCCATGAACTTACAAACTATTAAATTATTAAAAGGAGCTAGAATTAACAGACAATCCCCTAACCCTTATAAATAACCACCTTAAATGTTCACATCTAATACACCATAACATCTTCCATATTACAGACCCCATGTGACAAGCAATGGGGATATTCTGCATTAACATACTGAAATAAGTTTTTGTAATGAAGCAAATCAAATGTTGGCAAAAGTAACATTTTTGTAAAGGTTAACAATAAGATGAGACATGTGTGAAAGCTTCAAAATCCAACACTAAACCCAAGGTGACTGCATAAACTCGCTTAAACTGTCAAATGTCAAAGGAAATTCCAAAATTGTGACATGGATTTCTGATAGTCATAGAGAATAACAGATAGCATATAGAACATGAGATTTTTAGATTGCACAAAATTTCAATGCATTATCTAAACAACCAAGTATCCAATAAATAAGTAGAAGCACCATGAACCACCTATTCTTACGGAATTAAAATAAATATCAACTCTTTGATATCTAGAAAAGGTTGCAGTGATAAGGAACTAACTACCCTAAATGAGTAGGCCAAGTTGGGGGGAGATAGTTTGAACAAGATCATTCTGCCTTAGTGAACACAGAAAGGGGATAAGGATATAACTTGGAACAAAAATGTGCATAAGTTCATTAAAAGGAGCACAAGACAAGAACAAAGCAGTATAACCTTGTCCAAAAGAAATCAGACAGATGATGAGATAAATTCTGGTGGTACATGTTACAGATTTAGATATGCAATATGCCACTTAGCCAAGTATGCAATAAGTGGGGGTATACTTGTCAGTTGTTGGATGCTTTTGTACATTACTTGTGATGCAAGGTTTATTTCTCTCTCATAGAAATACACAAAGAGACAGAGAAATTGAAGAACTTTATTAGACAGACATAACCATCCACAATCATCATCATTTGCAGAGTGTAAAAGGAGTGTTTGGGCCTTCTCATTCTCAGTCCGTCCCAATAGTGCTGCAAACCCATTCTCCAGTTGGGCTGCTGCTACATCTCCACTTCCCATTCCATCTTCATCGATTCCAAGTTCTACCCATTACCCATCCTGACTCTACCTTCACTACCGGTCCTGTCTAACTCATCTCCAACTGTCCTGTTTAAAAGAATGGGAGTGACACAATTCGCAACCTAACTCATGAATTGCTACCCACAGAACAATTCATTGGTTCTCTGGATAAACCAACAAAGTAAGTTTCACTGCTAAAGAAGCTTAAAGTTGATGTCCCTTTGGATAAATCTTTATTTCAACCAAAAAGTATTTATTGCTAGAAACTAAGAACCTGATCAGATATATTTCTCCATAAAAAAAAAAAAACTTTTACAAATTAAATTTAACTTATGTATAATTAATTGGCTTATGTATAGAGGAGTTGATCAGAACAAGACTTCAAATTTCTAGGTTCTCTAACAACGGTACGAAAGAAGCAGTTTCCATAGACCGAAACCACTTTTGAAATTCTGGTAAAAACAAAAGGAGAACTCAATTGAATGCAGAAGTTGGAGAAGGCTGAATTAATAAGATGAGGCGAGAGCAGCAGAGTACAATTTTGTTAGGTGGCATTGCATGTAAAAGAGGGTGAAATGCTTGTAAAATTGATAAATGAAAGAATTAAAAGACAGCAGCATAGGAAGGAAGCATGAAAGAAAAAAAAGGAGAAGGAAAGACTTACAAGATGAGAAGGGTTGAGTTTGGCCTTCAAAGATGATTCAACTTGTTCCTTAGTCACGCCCATCTCTCTTCTCTTCTGTTCTTTCTCGCCCTTCAAATTATTTTCTCTTCTTTCGCTTTCTCTTCGACGAAATCAATATATATTCGCTTTCTGAATTTGCGTTGTCCAGACGCTGATAAAATAAAAGCTTTAAGCGGTTATAAAAAACAAATTACTCAATTCATTTTAGTAAAAACAAAATTCAAAAAATAATGTAAACCTAAAGCAATATATATATATATATATATGCGCTTACCATCTAAGATTTCTTTTTTATAATTTTTTTATCAAACTATTTTATCTTTCATGAAATAAAAATGATTTAATTATCTAATAAAATATAAATTAATAATCACAGAAACTTATTTATTGTGTCATTTTTCAAAATCAAATCTACACATCATTCATAATTTTTTAACTTATGTGATATCATTTAATTTAACATTTTAATAGTATATGATGTTTATTTTTAATAAAAGTTAAGGTATTGTTAGTGGCAAATCGAGAAAAGCGATCGAAATCGAAGGGAAGAAATATGACTCGATAAGATAAACAAAAGTTCATTCGATGTCTAATTAGAAATACGTAGCATATAGCATCGAGAAACACACTCGAGAATCGAATGAATTGTAATCAAATGACTGTTGTCGAATAAAAACTAAGTCATATAAGATCAGGATTAAAAAGGAATCGTGAGCAATTCAAGTTCTCGAAAAATATAGAATCGAGAATAAAGAAAGCCAATGGGGACATCAAGATTTTGGCCAAATCGTGAAGGGAAGTAAGTCGAATGCACGTATAGAGAGCAGCTTTGAAATCATGGGTAAAAGTCGGAGATCGTGAGAACGTGGGAAACTAGAAGATAAACTGCCATACGCACGTAGAACGTGGTAGCAGTCGTATTAACTGCTCTTAGAAGGCTTGAAGGATGCCCTATAAATAGAGCAAAAGAAGGAAGGAACAAGGGGAGCAAAAATTGGCAGAGCACGGAACCGAGTAGTGAAAAGTCTACCGGAGAAACGACGAACACCATGAAGCTTCCGCGGTCCGGATTTCCCGCTCACGGAGTACATTTATCGCTTTACGTATTTTCCTTGGTAATTTACTTTGATGCAACTTAAATTCAGCAGTTTTATGTTTCTGTATTTCGATTCCTTGTCCATTTCAATTCAATGAAAATTTGAGTTTCTGCATTTAGATTTCCTATTATTTAACATTCTGCAAATCTCAATTTCCTGTCATTTACTTTTCTTGCAATCTCGATTTCTTGTCAGTTATATTTGTGTTGTTTTCGATTCCTCGCTATTTACAATTAATGCAAGTTTGGGGTTCTCGCATTTTACATTTCCTCGCAATTTAATATTCTGCTTTTCTATTCGATAGTCTAAATTTTTTCGATACTTTAAATACAAAATACCAAAAACAATATTTTCGATATCCTGGAGTTTTCGATTTTCATACACGTTTTCGATTGAAAACCAAATTGCTAGCCTAAGTAAAAAGAGCTTACGTGGTAGGATTTTGATTAGGACCAAAACACCCTTAGAATCGAAATCGATCGAAATTCCACCGAAACAAATTGGCGCGCCGAGTAGGGGACTAGTCTTGTGTTGAAAAAAACACAAAAGAGGTTAGTTCGTGAGTGTATGAGATTAAGAAGTGGGAGAGTTATAATGAGTCGGAATTCATCAAGTAGTCAGAATAACAATGAGGGTCTAAGTGGTGTGCTCTCACCAAATACCGGGGGGCAAGGGCACAATGGGAGTATGCCTGTAGTATCGACAACTGTAAGTACGTCGATACCAACAAGTAATGAACAAAATCCAGGAACATTGGCAAACACCCATATAGGATCTAGTATGACGATACCAAACAATATGCAAACTATGGGAAACCCCATAACCACATATGCAGGGCCATATACGAGTGTAAGACCACCTGGTTTTTCACCCAATAACATGAACGGAGCTGGCACTTCGTCGATACATAGAAATTCACGATATAGCTTAGGAATGCCTCCAAACGTAGGTACATTTCAAACCCTAGGCATGCCGCAAAACTTTGGGGTTGCTTCACATTTAGGGGCGTCTCAAAATTCAGTGACATCACAAAACTCAGGGAGTGGGCATAATTTAGGTATACAACAGACATCTCCGAATCTAGATCCTAGAGGGAATCCCGATCAGGGGAGGTATGCATTTGATAGGGACTATCATCGATCTAATTTTGAGAATATCGAAAATACCCATACTGGAATTTCCAGTAACTCCTTAGGAATACTTAGACAACAAATGGATGAGAGTAATTTTGAAATGGTGAATATGTTATCACAACAATTGACTACGAGTCTTAAATCCATTAGTGCAAAACACTACTTGCTAGCTTTGAGATATTAGCGAGACCAAATGTCACGAATCGGGGATGCATTGGATGTGCCTCGACAAACGAGGATAGAAAATCATACTAATCGGAATACTAATATTAATCCCCCATATCTATTGAGAAGGAATAGAAACAATGATCAACGAGCGTATGGGAAATGAGTATCAAAATGTGAGGAATGATATTTATGGAAATTTGAACGAAGGATTTCAAAATATACACAATCGGAATAATATGTTGGGACAAAGAATGAATTTACAAGGGATGAAATTTAGACCACCCAATCGGACATATTTTGTGTCTCCCTTTCCAAATGCGATTCTCGAAACGAATTGCCTCGAGGATATAAAGTACCCAAATTCACCAAATTTGCTGGAGAAGTTGGTGAATCGACTATCGAGCATGTAGCTCGATATCAGATCGAGTGTGGAGATCTAGCGATGAGTGAAGAATTGAAAATGAAATGTTTCCCGAGTTCTTTGACTAAGAATGTTTTTACTTGGTTCACGTCATTGCCACCTAATTCGATATATAATTGGCTACAATTGGAAAGAAATTTTCATGAACAGTTCTTCGAGGAGAAACTCAAGTGAGTCTCATCGACTTGATGAATATAAAAAGATACAATCATGAAAACATAGATGATTATTTGAATCGATTTAGACAAATGAAATCGAGATGTTTCACTCAAATTCCCGAATATGAATTAGTCGAATGGCTTCGCAGGTTTAGAATTCTCGATTAGGAAAAAACTAGTCAATTTACCATTGAATGACATGGCTCAATTAGGCGATAAAGTGAGAAAAGTAGAACAAATCGAGTATGAGAAACAAAGGTATAAGAAATATGAGAAACCTCTAAAAAAGGAAAGAATAGCATACATAAATGATGTATACGAGACAGATAATATGACAGAAAATGATATTGAAGAAACTGTCGATGAGAAAGTAAACTTAGCAGAACTCAAAGTGGGGGTTCCATATACCTGTAAATTGCTACAAAAGAATGAAGTAAAAGATAAAATGGAAAATTGAACATATACTTTTGATGTGACAAAAGCAGACAAAATCTTTGATATTTTATTAAAAGACAAACAGATTAAGTTGAATGATGATCATAAACTGTCGTCTGCAGAACAAAGGAATGGTCGAAAATATTGCAAATTTCATAATATTTATGGACATTGGACTAACAATTGTATACATTTCGGGAACACCATCCAAGATGCGATCGACCAAGGAAGGTTGAAGTTTGAAGAAATGACAATGAAAGTTGATACGAGTCCATTCGAGGCTCAAGTAGGATACCTCGAATCCCAAACAGGCATTACTGATGATGTCCGATTAACACATTCAGCCTTCATAGGCATGGTAGATGTCACTGAAGACATCAATCCTAAGCATGTCAAGATGGATGTATCTGAGGAAGATATGGAATTTGACCTGAGTGAATTCGAGAAAGAGTTCGAAAAGGAAATATACCCTCGATCAGGAGATTCTCTCATTGAATTTTTGAATAGAAAGAAGGAAAAAGACGAAGATGTGTCATTATGCCCACGATGCAGCGCAGTATTCGATAAATCGGCTGCCAAAGCTTTCAGAACAGAACAGATGAGGAAGATCGAAAACCAAAATAAAAGGAAAAATGACAAAGTAGACCAAACAGACCCGACCAACGATCGAAGAAAGTCGGCAGAAATCCGTTGGCTCTGGTGTTAGTGAAAATCGAGGCAAGTGGATTAGAAGAGAGATGTATCCTTCTCGAGGAGGAAGAGGTAGACTTCAAAGTAATGATGTCTTCGAAAGACTCTCGTATGATGATGGATCGACCACTAGATTCCCAACATTTCAAAGAAGATTCCGAGGAAGGCCCTGGAGAAGAGGAGGAAGGATCCCCTATTGGAATAATTACAGAAACTTTGAAGAAAATGTTGCACCTATAGAGAGTCATTATACAAGAGAATTTCTCGATGACAAGGATGATAGTACTTGGGACGAACATCAAAATCGGGGTAATATCAATTTTACCTGCGGAATATGTGAGCGAATACAAAGAGTATCAAGAACAAATAGATGCCGAGCGGGAAAGCGACTTCTATTCAGAAAACATAAAGCCTAAAATAACATGGGTAACACAAACCTCATGTGAAGTTCCTCATAGAGACGCCGCTTTCATCGATCCCCCATCCGAGGAAATGAGGTTCCACTTGAAACCATTATTACTAAACATCGAGATTCAAGGACAGATGGTGAATAGAGTCCTTGTCGATGGTGGAGCAGCAGTGAATATACTGCCAATTACTATGCTAAAGAAATTTGGTATTGAGCTAAAAGACTTGGTCAAGCACAACATTATGATTTCCGATTTCAGCGGAAAGACGTCAAGTTCAGAAGGTATGATCGCTTTAGACGTGAAAGTGGGCACTTACTCGAGACCTCACTGTGTTTGTTGTGGTCCGAGTCGCATGCCAATTTCAATGCATTACTTGGCGAGAGAGTGGATTCATGGAGTAGGAGTCTGTGCCTTCGACGACTCATCAAAAGTTATTTATGTGGAATCGAGATGGACATCTCGAAGTAATCCCTGGAGATCAACATGAATTTGTAACATTCGTATCTCGAGGCTGGCCGAGCATTGCGAGA